GGTTCTCCCCCTCTCCCCTCCCCCCGTGACCTCTCCCCCGTTCCCGTTCTGTTCCCGCAGCTCCGCCCCGCCCATGGGGTTCGCTCCGGTTCCGCCTCCGCCTCCGCCTCGGGCTCCGTCTCCGCTCTCCGGTCCCGTTCCCGGGGCTCCCGTTCCCTCTCCCGGTTCAATTCCCTCTCCCGTTCCCTCTCCGCTCTCCGGTCCCGTTCCCGGGGCTCCCGGTCCCTCTCCCGGTTCAGTTCCCACTCCCGTTCCCTCTCCCGTTCCCGTTCCCGCTCCGGTTCCCTCTCCCGGTTCCATTCCCGTTTCCATCCCCTCTCCCCCCGTTCCCGTTCCCGTTCCCGGCGCTCCCGTTCTCTCTCCCGGTTCCATTCCCATTCCCTCTCCCTCTCCCGCTCCGTTTCTCGCTCCCTCTTCGGTTCCCGGTCCCGTTCCCTCTCCCGTCCCCTCTCCCATCTCCATCTCCTCTCCCGTTCCCGTTCCCTTTTCCGTTCCCTCTCCCTCTCCCTCTCCCGTTCCTGTTCCGGTTCTCTCTCCCGTTTCCATTCCCGGTCCCGGTCCCGTTCTCTCTCCCGCTCCTCCCTCTCCCTCTCCCGGTTCTATTCCCGTTCCCTCTCCCTCTCCTTCTCCCGGTCCCTCTCCCGGTTCTGTTCCCGTTCCCGTTCTCTCTCCGGTCCCCATTCCCATCCCCGTTCCCGTTCCCTCTCCCATTTCCATCCCCATTCCCTCTTCCGTTCCCTCTCCCTCTCCGGTTCCCTCTCCCGTTCCCGTTCCTGTTCCCGGTCCCGGTCTCTCTCCCTCTCACTCTCCCATCCCCATTCCCATTCCCGTYCCCTCTCCAGGTTCCATCCCCTCTCCCGGTCCCGTTTTCTCTCCCATCTCCATTCCCTCTCCGGTTCCAGTTCCCTCTCCCGTTCCCATTTCTATTCCCTCTCCCGGTCCCGGTCCTGTTCTCTCTCCCTCTCCTCCCTCTCCCTCTCCCGGTTCTATTCCCGGTCCCGTTCTTTCTCCCGTCCCCTCTCCCATCTCCATTCCCTCTCCCGGTCCCTCTCCCGTTCCCGTTCCCTTTTCCGGTCCCTCTCCTTCTCCCTCTCCTTCTCCCGGTTCTATCCCCGTTCCCGTTCTCTTTCCCGGTCCCGTTCTCTTTCCCGCTCCTCCCTCTCCCTCTCTCTCTCCCTCTCCCGGTTCTATTCCCGGTCCCGTTCTCTTTCCGGTCCCCATTCCCATTCCCGTTCCCGTTCCCTCTCCCGGTTCCATTCCCATTCCCATTCCCGGTTCTATTCCCGTTTCCGTCCCCTCTCCCGTTCCCGGTCCCTCTCCCGCTCCTCCCTCTCCCTCTCCCGGTTCTATTCCCATTCCCGTCCCCTCTCCCGTTCCCGGTCCCATTCTCTCTCCCTCTCCCTCTTCCTCTCCCGGTTCCATCCCCTTTTCCGTTCCGGTTCCCGTTCCCGGTCCCGGTCCCATTCCCTCCCCCTCTCCCTCTCCCGGTTCTATTCCCGGTCCCGTTTCCTCTCCCGTTCCCGGTCCCTCTCCCGCTCCTCCCTCTCCCTCTCCCGGTCCCATTTCTATTCCCTCTCCCGTTCCCGTTCCCGTTCCCAGTCCCGGTCCTGTTCTCTCTCCCTCTCCCGGTTCTATTTCCGTTCCCATTCCCGTTCCCTCTCCCCTTCCCGTTCTCTCTCCTTCTCTCTCTCCCGGTCCCGGTCCCGGTCTCGCTCCCTCTCCCTCTCCCTCTCCGGCTCCCTCTCCCGTTCCCATTTCTATTCCCTCTCCCGTTCCCGTTCCCGGTCCCATTCTCTCTCCCTCTCCTCCCTCTCCCTCTCCCGGTTCCATCCCCTCTCCCAGTCCCTCTCCCGTTCCCGTTCCTTTTTCCGGTCCCGGTCCCATTCTCTCTCCCGGTTCTATTCCCGTTCTCTCTCCCGTCCTCTCTCCCGTCCCCGTTCCCGGTCCCGGTCCCATTCCCATTCCCGGTCCCGTTCCCTTTTCCGTTCCCTCTCCCGGTCCCGTTTCCTCTCCCTCTCCCTTTCCCGGTTCTATTCCCGTTCCCAGTCCCGTTCCCGGTACCTCTCCCGGAGCCGGTCCCGGTCCCTCTCCTTTTCCCGGTTCTATTCCCGTTCCCGGTCCCTCCCGTTCTCTCCGGGATGGTCCCCTCCCCCTCCCCCTCCCCGTTCCCCTCCCCGTTCCCGTTCCCCTCTTGGGGCTCCCGTTTGGGCCGGGGCGCTCGCCGGGCGCTGCTCCGGGGGGCTCTGGGGCTCAGTTTGGGCCTTTTGCTGCTTTGGGCGGCGCTTTTCCTCTACGGCTCCTTCTACTGGGCCTATCTGCCCGCGGCCGCC